GATCTAATTAAAGCCGCATTTAAATGCTCGCGAAGGAGAGCACGTTCGAGAAAGCAAAGAGCCCCGATGGAACGACCGCACTCGAGAGACGCGAGAGAAGCGAGACGCAGCGGTCATAATCGCGACTCGACTCCCACCCTCGCTGAAGCCTTTTTCAGTACTTAGGGCATGCGAACAATCGAGAACGGCGCACAAAGGAAAGAATAATCGATGATAATTAGGAGTCGTGCCCGAGGAGATGTCCTTTCTTCTCTCCACCCATGCAACTGTCGCTGTCACATTCAATATTCATAGACTAACTCTCTTTTTTTTTCATACAACGTGTCCATCACACATTATATGAATATTATTCACCCGAACTTCCTCGCGTCCTTCGCATAAGTAAGTGACCGCAACTCGAGGTATTTCAATGCACACGGTCGCATTCGTTACAGTTCAGCTGGCTGGACCAAAGGATTAAGACATCCGGTAAGATCTTTTTCTTTACCACGGACGTAACAGACATACTGCACCCATTCCCTCGTGGAAAGGAAATCGTTCTTATTTTTTCATTCAGACTCTCAAAGCAAACCGTGCATTAATGACATTCTGGACCCACGATGAATGAGGAATATTATACATATGGAGATGGATATGATTGCATTTTGAGGTCACTGATAGAGCAAGACGTCAAACGTGGCTGTCACGATATCTCGCCAGGATTTCTCCTACGTGAAGAGATCATTAATGTGCAATGGCCTGCTTTGCTTCCTTACTTTTTTCTCTTCTACACCGGCAGGCTCTTCTTGACAACTTGCCAAGACAAGTAGCTCTACTTCTCTCTCTCTTTCCGTTCCTCTCTCTTTCTGGAGCTGACCCCACCCAATCTTCGGTTTCCAGCAGAGACGGAGTGTGTACCCTTTCTGCATAGCTAACAAGATTTTCCCGGGGATATTTCCTTCCGATTTCGAGCAGCTTTCACTGGTAGATGACGGGGAATTCCTCGCCGATAGACGTGGCACATGTCGGAGGAATCTCACAGTCCTGTAATCCTGACGCTGCGTTTTGGTCGAAATCTTTCCCGTCTCATCGTCGCAGCAAGGGGAAGAGGCGTTTCCAGCTCTCGGGAGGAGGCCTATAAGTATACGAATATCGTAAACGAACCACGAATGCGGAAAGGAGCCATCGATGGATCATGAGCCGAAGATGGAAAGGAGCCGCAAACGCCTCCGGTTGATCCATCATTGTAAGCCCAGATTGCTTTCCTCATTCGAGCGCATTAGAGGCAACCGAATGAGATCGGCTGTTTCCGGATCCTCGAAGTCTCAAAGAACTTCCTTGTAAAACGGCGTCCATGATGAGATGACATTTTTCAGCAGGTGCCTGAAATTTTTATGTTACGGGGACGCATTGTAAAAAAAAAAACTTTGGAAGTGTCTGAAATTTCAGTTGTCCTAAGCTGCTCGAAGTCTTAGGACAACGCACCCGGAAAGCGAGAAGAATACCTCGTATGACGCCATCTTCTTCGTTTCCTTCTTTTTTTGGGTGCATTTTTTTGAAGTATCATACGTGAATTCATTAGGAAATGTCTAAGATTTTTTTCGAGCGTACCAGTACCGTCAGTGACTTTTTGTCGGCTTTGAAACGTTGTAGATACGTCGATATCTCATCGAAAAAGCTCGATTCCGCGGCATGTATGAAATATTTACATACATGGAAATTTTCGCAAGCAAAGTGAGTGACGTGACGTCCCACTGTTGTATGGCAAATTCTTAATAGCTGGATGCGATCTGGAACGTAAAACGATTCCAAAGATCCTTATTCTGCAGCGTGTTGCCTGTCCATCTCGAAGATACAATCTGTCCAATCTGTCTACCTTGCAGTGTGTAATATATGCAATACAGAATGGAACAATATCGGACGTAGCGCATCTTATAGACATCAATTGTGACACTACCGCTGCGCATGTCAATGCCCCTCACATTCAACTCGAAAAGGAGACCTCTATTAAATATTAGGAACGGATTCAACGTGACCCCAAAAAGTAGACAGATTATGCGGTCGAAACTTTTGAAAGTCACCATAACGTAATACATAAAGACTCGAGATAATAGCCAGCTGCAAGGCGTCTCAATGAGTTATATATGAACTCAGTTTCTCACGTGAATTACACGATTACGTCATATGTGCTTTCAAACCTCATACGCCTGTTCTTTCCAGTTACGTTTGCAGAGATTCTTACGACTGAGCTAGCTCTAAATGTTTCCGGAATTGAATCCTGCAGTGACTCGACGACACGCCTTTTAGCGAACTACGCCTAAAGACGTGTCGGACATTGATTCGACACCTTAAATCGAGAATAGCGCTCGACGACAAGCATGGATAATGGAAGCAGACGCGACGAAAGAACAACTTTCGAAAAGGGATGGGATATGGTTACAGGGAGTTCCGATCGGAACAGGAAGCAACGAATAAGGGAACTGGATGAGGAGGGGGGGATATTTAGCCGGTTTAGAAAGGAGCTCGATGAAACGTGATGGGATGAAATGGGAAGACATTGTGAATGCGTGAGGCTAAACTACTTTCCCTGGGGACAACACGTCGTTTGATTACTTCTTGCCATCAGAAGCCTCATCCTCTTTTCCCTCTATGAGAAAAATTGAAACCGACTAGGAAGGGAGGAAAATAGAGAGAGGTGACCTGAATCCCGTCCTCCACATTGCCGAAAACCATTCACGTCCTTTGCGATGACATGAGACGACCATAGAAAGATGCCGGATCATCTGATGATGTCGCAAGCGCGAAGCGGTAGGCGGTGGATGAAGTAACCCTATTTTCCAGGATCGCTTTGAATCATCCACGGACATCGATGCCGGACACGTCTTCCAGGCCGGGAGTTAACAGTTGCAGACGGTAGAGGAAATTTGATCCGCATACCGGTGAAAGCTGTCGGGGAAACACGTGGGCAGCATTTTTGATACTAATCTTTAACGTACGTACGTACAGTAATTGCGTATTCCTTTCTCTGGGTTTCCCACGATGACGGAGAGTACTAGGGTTGCATCACGGGAGGGGCGATTACATGGAGGTTGGCGAAGTCCGTTGTGCTGGAGTGCCTTCATCCATATGATGTAATGAAGTGCCCATGACACATTGTCAGCCGGAAATCGCTTTGGTAATCCGGGTCGGGACTGTTTGGAACAGTGTATAAAGCAATGGTTCCTTCAGGATCACATAGATACTTTGGTCGACCTGGAATAAGCCGAATAAAAGAAACTTCTGCGTTTTTGCAAAGCTAAATATTCGAAAGGCAATCATCAACATATGAAAGAAAACGAAAATGATGATACTACTTTCCAATATGTAGGGTCCTCCCCTTCCGCACTCCGGCAACCTGATACCGTAACAAGGTCAAACTCGCCCTGCTCGCCTTTGTTTAGCTCCAACATGAATCACACGAAAATGATGATGATGATGACCAGGCTTGACTGCTTCTGAGATTATTTATATAAATATAAATTTTATGGTTTTATTAATGCTGTTGATCAAGGTGCACAAATTTTGAAAATTAACACCCTACCATTTCCGATTTTGACGAAATAAGCAATACAGTGTTCTCTTGTCCCCATATCCGGAAATATCCAATTACAGCCTCATTGGGTGACTAAATCAAATGCTAGATCAAATCATATGCATCCGATTTTTATAGCCCCTGCAACTCAAGAATTATTCATGCTATATCCTCGAATAAGACTCCAATTCACTGGAAATAATAATAACGTGAAAATTTCACTTGAACAAAAAACACTCAATGTTATTAATCAACTAAAAATTTGACCTTTGAACGTAGGATGAAGTACCTAAAATAACTATTTCAGATATATTTCATGGGGAGTCCAATGTCTCTGCTACGCATATGGAAAGTACACATTTTTATCTTTTTTAAATATTCCGGTAAAGTAATTTTTGAATCAGCAGATCACCACTGCTTTATTGCAGTTTCGATAGGCAAAGGAAATGCACCTGCTACTCCCTCTTCATCTTCCCAATAAAGTCATCTCTGTTGCAAGAGCGATGGGCATTCTTTTTCGATTTTATAGGGAAGAATCAACTGCATTTCTCCGCTTGCCCTAATGATATATTTCTGTCACTGAAGAGAATAGCATATCGTTGATTTATTGTTGAAATTGAGTGAGTTTCTAGCATGAAAAGTATAGCTTCAGAAATAGTAAATGTCAAAGTCATAAAAATAACCGGAGGTAACAACAGGGAATAAAATGTGTTGCCTAGACAGACAGGAACATCCTGCCCTGAGAGAAAGGGTCCCCTTATTTTTTTGTTGTCAATTTCTGCCTTCACAATGAGCAGACATTGCTGAACAGACTTTCAGCTCATAAATATAAATAGTTGATATTGACTTCTTTTAGAAAATGAAAAATGTTGCACCCCCAGTCGTCAAGGGAAGAAACTCTCCATGTATTGCTTCTGGTTAAGAAACTAAAAGGTCTTTCTCCTTCTCCCACCCCTCCGAAACCCTCGCACACTCCTCCTAGGGGTGGCGCTCCCTGGTATGAAAACCGGTGGCGTAGAGTCTTAGGTTCCCTTGCAAAACGTTCAGCCCCTATCCACCTGGTTGTTTGACCAGGTGGAAAAGGAGTGGATTTGGAACCAGGTGGACGTCCCCCCCCTGATGGAAATCCATCTAGCCATTCGCGCAAATTTATTTCGAGCCAGGTGGATTTTCCCCAGGGTGGACATCGCTCCAACAGGTGGAAATACCGCCTAGGTTTTCCATTCGACCCATCTGGTTCCAAATCCACATGGGAAGTGGACATTTTGTAAGAGCTTGAAGTAGGAACATCTTGAGTGCAAGTAAAAGAACACGGAAAAAACGTTTTTTTAACACGATGGGATTCAAACTCTACATGGAGGGTGTAGATCTCCGGGGAAAATGTAGGCTTTCATATTTTTGCTGACGTCTGCTGCAATCATCAATACAAGGGGATGCTAATACCCTGAGAATGGAGGGAAATGGTGGGGTACTGACAGCGGTGGTCGCATGGCTACTTGGACTGAAGGTTCGCTATTTCCCATCGCTCCCAGTTGCTGAGCCGATTCGGCAAATATTAAAAGAAAATCTTAACCCAAGTAATTTCGACTGCTTCTTGCCTTATCTCTGTATCCTATTTCAACGCATTCCAAGCAATGTATTCCGGTTATGTTTCCAATTCCATCGACAGATGTTCTCTCACGGAGGCACAAACCAGTAGACAAGAACAGAGAACGGGAAATTTTAAAAATTCGTTGCTGGCCCACTAAAAAATTTAATTCCAAATAAATGGCTTCCTTTTTTTCTTGTAGGTCCCACTGGTGCTAGTGGTGACCAGTGTTGGAAGCCTCCCATCCGCTGGCTATGGTTTCAAAGGGAAAACCTTAGACTTTAAGGGAAATGAGGAGATTATCGACTTTCCGTCTTTGCCCCCTCTCCCACCCATACCGCGATTGCCTTCATTACATTATGGCCCACCATCTGCCAAGTATGGGCCAGATCTAGGTGTATTGGAAGGGAAACGGCCCCGTCAAAAGCCAGCTGGACGTCAGGGGAAGAAAGCGAAATTTCCCAAACCTGTCTACACAAAATGGACCGTAAGTTCCTCGTCTACTGCTTTTAATTCGACAGAAAATTCCTACAAATTTTCAGTTTTATTTTATTTATTTGCGTTCAGCCTCTCTTGCCCGGTGATTGCTGTGGAGAGACACCATGGATACCCCTGAAGGGCAAATCCAGCTCCCCATATCGAGTGACCAAGGTCCAAAAGTTGACTAAGACGGGAGCATCGAAGCAATTGTACGATTCGGGAATTCAAGGGGTGCAGTCTTACCGATTCTTAGTTAATGGACAAGGTAATGTCGAGAACCTTCCTCCTCCCGGCTATCAAGCAGGATTAAAACCAAACGTCCAGGTATCCATTATCGAAGAAGAAGAGTATGCACCAGTTGGGGCACTTGATGTACCGATACCACCGCCATCTTCATATGGCAGCGAAGCCGTAGTTGAGTTGAGTAAACCTGCACCCTATGACGTCTCATCACCTTTAACCTCTCCTATCCCGATCAACTACAACAGCCAGCACTTGGGAGGACGTAAGGAGCAACCACGATACCCACAGGCACAGAAGCAAGAAATACTATATGGAGGACCACAGCCACAGCAAATCCAGGAATATGAAGCTCTTGGTCAGAATGCGGGGCCTCAAGGACAACAATATAAAGCGCCTGAAGAAGTAATATACAAAGCTCCTCCACTGGTACAGTATCAGGAACAGAGATTTGAGGCTCCAAGGCAGGTGGCGCGACCTGTGGAACAGAAGACTGAAGTTCCCAGAGAGCAGTTCCAGTTCGGGCAACAGAAGATTGAAGTTCCCAGAGAGGAGTTCCGGTTCGAGCAACAGAGCTATGAAGCTCCCAGGCATGAAGTGCAATTCAAGCAGCAAAGGTTTGAAGCTCCCAGACAGGAGGTGCGATACGAACAGCAAAGGATTGAAGCTCCCAGACAGGAGGTGCAATTCGAACAGCAAAGATATGAAACGCATGGGCAGGAGGAGCAATTCGAACAGCAAAGGTTTGAAGCTCCCAGACAGGAGGTGCGATACGAACAACAAAGGTTTGAAGCTCCCAGACAGGAGGTGCGATACGAACAACAAAGGTTTGAAGCTCCCAGACAGGAGGTGCGATTCGAACAGCAAAGGATTGAAGCTCCCAGACAGGAGGTGCGATTCGAACAGCAAAGATATGAAACGCATGGGCAGGAGGAGCAATCCGAAGAGCAAAGGTTTGAAGCTCCCAGACAAGAGGTGCGATTCGAACAGCAAAGGTTTGAAGCTCCCAGACAGGAGGTGAGATTCGAACAGCAAAGACATGAAGCTCCCAGACAAGAGGTGCGATTCGAACAGCAAAGGTTTGAAGCTCCCAGACAGGAGGTGCGATTCGAACATCAAAGATATGAAGCTCCCAGACAGGAGGTGCGATTCGAACCTCAAAGATATGAAGCTCATAGGCAGGAGGAGCAATCCGAAGAGCAAAGATTCGAGATCCAAAGGCAACAGCACGAACAACAAAGGTTTGAGGCTCCAAGACAAGAAATCAGATATGAAGAGGAAAGATACGAGGAACCTAGGCAGGAGGAAAGGCATGAAGGGCTCAGACAGAGATACGAAGGGCAGAGAGAAGTGTTCTTACATACCAACCAAGCTGAAGGCCAAAGATTCGATGCATCAAGAGAAGAAGTGGGCTATGAGGGAAATCAAAGACGTGAAGAGCCCATAGAAAAGTTGATTGTGTACAATGCACCCAGGGAAGAGGGTCGCTTCGATGTGAGTAGGGAAGAGGGTCGCTACGATGGGAGTAGGGAAGAAGGTCGTTTCGATGGTAGCAGGGAAGAGGGTCGCTTCGATGTGAGTAGGGAAGAAGGACGCTACGATGGGAGCAGGGAAGAAGTAACATTTGGACAGGCACAAGGACAGCGTCTAATTCAGACGGAATACTTTCCTGATCGACCCGATGTGAGAGGAAATTTCCTGCGTTTGGAGGGTCCAAGTGAAAGGCCTTTGGCACCGGCAGGAGTGGAAATAGAATACCGGGGATTCGGTTCGTCGGAATCTCACGAACAGGGAAGAGGAAGAGGAGGACAGAGAGAAGAAGATTATAGTGAGTATGGATTCCGTGAAGACGTCGTTCAAGTTCCCCTCTTCAATCGCATTGAGGCAGCCCGCCTTCAGGTGAGTGAAGGAATGGAATAAATTCCAATCGCTTCTATTACGTGGGGATCTGTTGAAGAACAGTACAGTACATGAATTACATGCAAAGCTTTTGGTGTCATCACAGGAACTCAGGTACTCGGGAAGACAGGAGCAGTCTCAGGAAACGTACAGGTAGGTTCCGTCATCTATAAAGTGGAAATTAGATAGTATAAAGGCTGAGAAGAGAATTCTGATTTGTTCGGTAGTAGCGGTGTGTTTTCGACGACGACAACAACGACACCAGCGCCCATCCTGTCTTCCACGCCTCTACCTACATCCTCTACTTACAGATCAGCAGTGGAGGGTGACGGGAATCTCAGTGTTGCCAATAAAGGAGAATTTGGCATTAAAGTACCGTCACGTTCACGTAAGTTTTCCACTCTTTTGGTCTTGACTGAGCTGGAGAGATGGAGATTACGTTATTTTAATTATTTTTCTGTGCAGGTTTTAGGGGTTCGACGACGTCGAGACTGCTGACAACGACGACACCGGTGACGTCGACAGAGGCACGAAGTCCATTGCCACAGGCTGTGGTCCTTCAAGAGGCACTTGATAGTTCCTATATCAACAAATTCCCCGAAGCCGGAGCTGCAGAGGATTTCCAAGTCGACCCGGGAGAGCAGCAGATCGTGGAGGATAACCTCTTCGAGATTCGAAAAGTCTGATCCAATGTCGAAGGAGCGAGTACAAACAGTTCTCAGTGAAAAGACTGCAGGGAACGAGGACTACTTTTAGAGGTCTGAATTTCTAGAGGAGTTTGAAGAAAACGTAAGTTGCGGTCAAGGTGTACCTCCGTCAAAGACTTGGGCATGCTGAGATTGGATCGACAGGAGTGATCATATGCTTCTCTTAAGCACTTGTATAGTCCAAAGCTCAAATAGGAGCATGTTTTTTTGTCTTCCTTTTTCAAGGACGTGATCTGGCCATTTCCATGTTCACCCACTCAGTCCCTGAAAGACATTGCTCAAGACCTGTGCGCATAAAGCGCGTGAAATGCTCATTCTTTGTTACAGACTTCTGTTGTGTTCCTGGAGTTTTGTCGTTGGTCTTTAACATCTCAATTCTGTGTGTGTGCATGCCATGGGATCACGGTATTCTCCTCTCCCCCCCTTGGTGCTCAGTGCTCACTTTTCTCATCGTCGATCGAGATGCGAATCTAGTCTGGCGCAGTTACCATTCATTTAGAGATTTTTCCGTCCTAGGCTTATGAAAATGAGATTAAGGAAGATATTTTCTCCAATATAATTGTTTCTTTATTCCTGACTTTCTTCAAAAGATGTGCTCTGACTCACGAGGTGCAGCACTTGGAGAAGACAAGCCTCAGAAGAGGGATGACTTTGATGGAAGACAAATCAGCCAGAACCGCCTGCAAAGCAATCGTGACATATTTAGCTCATTTTTGCTATCAAGGCTTAACATACCGAGCATCATTGGAAGGAATAACAGGAGAGACCTCGGCAGCTTGAAGCGTTGAGACGGCGAGGAGATTCTCCCGTCTGAGGGAGAGGATAGCAGCAGCCAAAACCGGAACGATGAGAAGGGAATCGTAGGCCAAGATGAGATCCCATAGAAACAGAACTTGCTCTGGCCTTAAGGAACCTGCGAACCCCCTCATCAACCACTTGAACACCATGCTGCATCTGCGCAGACTCCATTATTTTAATAGTTGTGCCTCCCAAACAAAAGTTATAGGGCATCTCTCGGGGTAGAGGGAAAAGAGAAAAGAAGAAAAGCCTTGAACGGGATGAAAAAAGCTTCAATCCAAAACTGCAGCCTTGGGAAGTTGCTGTCCCTTCATGAATCGTATCATCGTAAGATGACGATAGTCGAGGTGATCCTTACAATATCGTGCGTCCGGACTAGGATATTGAATATCAAGACATTCTTCGGATGGTAACAGGAGTGTCTTGTGTCTAGTAGATGGTACAGACTCCGTCCTTCACACATGGCGATGAGGAAGTGCGCCATAAATTGCAATGCAAAATACGACTTCAGATAAGGCTGTCCAGATGGCATTCTCATCCGTCTACATTACGTGATCAGTCAAGCTGACAGCTTCTTTCTGTCTTCTTTTTTCTTTGCTAAATTTTAATCGCCATGGAAGCATATCTTCCTTCCAGACGATAGGATTGGTTGATCTTTTCGATCGAGTTTTGAATCTAGATCCAAATCCCAAGATCAAAAGTCCATAAGATAAGACTTACAATCGTAGCACTCAATCAAAATTATAAATGTGGGGACAAAACATCGGCTCGTCCCATCGTCCTACGTCGTGATAATGGAGCCCGTGTTCCATTCTTTCTTTTTGCCACTCATAGACTTGGTTGACCTCATGTGACCTTATTCCTGTTTGAGTTAACGCCACAACGGGCTCAAAATAAGAGGACTCAGTCCCCCTGTGGAGACCTATTCCCATATCAACGCACGCATAAATGTCACAGTATCTGTTTCCTCCTTCTCCCATCCGGCGGGGTGGACGGTCGCCGATGGCTTGAGGCGGATAAAAGTTGGAAGACAGAAAATGAGAAAAGGCAGCGGACCGTATCTCTTGCCTCATCAATGGTTTGCCCACGTGGTCGGGAAAAAAAACACGGCGGCCCACTGATCGAGTGCTATTCTTTTCCCATTTTTCTGTTTCTCTTCTCACGCTTCGCCAAAGCGAAAGCGGGAAGTATGCTTCATCCCTTTGGCTATATGGATGGGTGGATGTTCTAAAAACTCTCGGAAACTATGGGAAGTTGTCGAATGAAACTTGGCGTATACGTAGCTCTAGAACAGGGGTCTGAAACTCACAAACGCTCTCAATGCGGGCCCGCGACCCACCTGCGTACATCGAGAGAGAAACGTTTCAGGTTCAATACACACAATATAAGGTAGTAGTAGACTATTCATTATACGATTTTACACGTTGGCTCGCAGTGAGGGTCGATCTTGACAATGCGGCTCATACACCGAAACGAATTTGAGACCCCTGCCCTAGAACGTGGTTTGGATGAGTAAGTGGTATGCTTGAAAGCGTTCTCATTCCCCCTATCCCAGAAAGAAACTCTGAGAGCATGCATTCGAATAATACAGTTATTGCATAATAAGATCGTATTTGCAATGGGTGGATTGCATAAAAGTGACTTTAGAGTAATTGAGCTTTAAACCTCCTTTAGAGCCGCTAAAGGAGGTTTAAAGCTCCATTACGTTAAAGTCACTTTCCGATAGCAAAGGCTTTCCACTCATAAATTTGTCATTCACAAGATCCAATTGTTACCGCGAAACAGTCTAAAAGATATGGGAGACAGTATTCGTCGTAACAACATAGATCTAACGAGACGATATAGGCGTAGGTAAAGTTGTCGTAATTCATCCGCAATCGCATTTCATGAGTCAACCGCTGATCGTTAGCTGCACAATGCTTAATTTCTTCAATTTTATGATAACCCTTGAACCTGAGACAAAAATGAAAGCAGCCCTTAGATGACGCCGCTATTCTGGGTTTCATGTCAGTGTTAGTGTCGGTGTTAACACCGAAGTTGGTGTTAGGAGAAGCCTCTCGACACAAACACCGGGAGATAACACCAACACCGAACACCAACACTCGATTTGAACTCGCCCAATGTCTTCAGCCTGGTATGAACAGGTGACAATACCTACTGCCTTCATTCCGTACATTCTTAAATTTCTCTTTCTGTAACAGTACCAAAAAATCCCATGGGACAGAGACCTCGATATTCGGTATGCTATTGAGATAGATCATATACCTCGAAAATCATTACAGATTTACGAATGACTCTCGCAAGAGCTCGCGATGCATGGTATCCGGAGGTATGGAAAGTATGTGGAGAGGAGTGACGAAAACCTACGGTTCTATATGCTTGGAATGGAGATGGGAAAAGAGGTGAGGATCAGAGACGAGGAGGAGATGCTCGAACAACGCCGTCAAGCTCAAGATCCCCTCTGGCGAGGAATCTATCACGTGCAGTCGTTTCCAATATCGAATGTAGAACTCTCGAAAGAAGCCGTACACCTTCTCGGGTTCCTCGTAAAGGTAGCAAATTGGAGCCACTGGCCAAGAGAAATGTATTTTCGTCGCATCCGGCTTTGGATACATCTTGTGCGTGTTCTTCCGCTTCTTTTCGACTTACCGTACATGGAGAATCCATAAAAGGGAATTACTCCCGAAAGAGGGTAGATGAAGGACTGGCTTTCATCCTTTTTTCCTTGGAACACGGAGACGTGCGTCAGGTATTGAGGAATGGTCTTGTCTCGGAGGAAGCACAGGAGGACTTGATACAAGGTATCCTCGTACACGAAGTACTGATCGTCGTTGCATGCCGTCAATTGCGTATCCTGCAAGAACAAGGCACCATCGACTTCTTAAATTTTAGCGATATTTATCCTCTATTGGAATTATATACTATTCTAACAGTCTCACTTTGATGACGATGTAGTCGAGAAGAAGCTCGTGGGAGAAGACAGACGATTTCAACGTCTCCATATGTTCCGCATCCTTTGGAGAGAGAGTTCAAATCGTGACATCATGAACGATAAAAGTGCCCTTTTTATGCCCCCTGTAAAAGGCTTGTGCTGTACCTGTGGTCCAGGTACTCCAAGGATGTGAGACCAAAGCCTGGTTCGTAGTCCATGAGGGCAACCCAACTTCGCAAATTCCTTCGTCAGCATTGCGTCGTCTCTGTCCAGAACTAAACCAACATGTTTCACGTAGTCGCTTGGAATGGAAGAACTACAGGAAAGCACGAAACGTTTGGTAAAATGGATTCGAGATCTACCTGCCTGTGCGGCAAGAAGTCGAAGTTCTTCCAAAATGAGACCCTGGGGACCGACAATGACTTTTGGGTCGATCCCAAGGTGCAAGTTCTTCTCGTCCCACAGCTCCCTATACTTGAGCTTCTGTTCGCAGTTCAATGAGAGGCCGAATATATCAGATATTGGGATGGAACCGAGAGGTGGAGAGACGGAATCGAAACATTACCAATTCGTGTAGAGAGGGAACGTGACGCGGAAGACGCAGCAGTTTTTCATCAGGTCTCAAATTTTTTCGTTCATGAGGAGAAAAAATAATGTCAGTCGGTGATATGGTATCAAACGGCGCGAGAGACGAACTTCCTGTCGAGATACTTACAGTGTGTCCTCGTGCCGATTGGGGTTCTTCAGTGTGATCAGGACTTCCAGGAAATCCCTGGGCGAGTACACGGGTCGATAAACCGTCAGGTCTAGTAGGGGAAAAATAACAGGCGATTCTCTTCTGGTTTCTAATCGCCACGAGAAACCATGTACTGAATTCCTACTTTCTACAAGTTCACACGCCCATTAGCAACTGATGGGTGATTTGTGCTGGAACTTGCAAGGGCATTCCGCGAGAAATCTAGTGACGTCATCGATTTCTCATATCATGGCTTCGACTTCATTACTTCCTCCATCACGAAAAACCCATCCGAAAATCCATGCGGAACCATACAAATCTGCAGTTCTACTCAAATATTGTAGAGTCCGGCATTCACATTGCAGATCACAAACATGGTGCACGTTGCACCGTTAATGAAGGAATTAATTTAAATCTCGAAGGCATTGACGTCACTCCATGTTCCCACGGACTACCCTTGATAGGTTCCGCAAAAATCGGGGCCCAGTATGATTGTTCGTTGTGCAGAGTTCTACTTCTAATCTGTCAAGTATAGAGAATGGAGCATTGGGTATAGAGTATGCAAGAGGTCCAAGTCCATATCTGCACCCCTTTTATAAAAGGTGGCCCCGGCACTATAGGCCGATATCAGGTGCTCCCGAAGAGCAACGAATACGAACCCATTTGCCATGTATGTTTTGGGTTTTGTTTGAAAAAGGGGAAATTTAAAAAAACAAAAAAGGGACATTCCAAGCGTGCGTGTTTGCAGGTATGAGCAATTCCTTTTTGCAAATACGCTATCGTATTTTTCATAAAGGTATTTACAGTTGCAGCTTCAAGCATGACAACTCTCAGCCAATTTTATTCTCAAATTATCCCGAGAGCAAAATGTCCTCATTTCAGTTTCCAACCTGCCATAGACTCATGGGATTTTCGGCAATAATCTTTGTTATAGAAAACTGATTTTGTGAGTAAAAGAAAAAAAGTAAAAAAGTAAGGGTTAAAAAATCCCTCCGATCCAATTTAGCGAATCCCCGTTGTACAGAAGGCAATCTTTCCCCATTTGAAAATGGATGGACGGCCTACTTGGATGGCTGGATGGACAGCCTACTCGAAACTGTTGAACCATCCAAGTGGTCACGGAACATTACAGCTGGTCGCATTGAGGTTTCGCCCTCAGCCGCAGTCACCTCCACCAAACTTTGCAAGATCTAGTCGCTGGGAAACATTCTGATCGCTGCATGCAGAGGAGCGCTGACTCCGCGACGAATAGGATGCGTTGCTTTGTGTTATAATTCCCTGCAAATCCTACCCAGTCAAAAAGTTTTCATCGGGCCATCGATGGTTTTTCCTCGACGCGTCTATAAGTCGTTGGGTCATCACTGGCATATGGTTGCCTTACGGTTGGTTTAAGCCGGCTTTTGGTAGGGCATGTCCTGTTGGCCCATCATTGAGCCAACTTTGGCTCATTGTTGGAAAACCACACATGTCCCAACCATAAGCCGACTTTTCACAATGGTGAAAAGATATTGGAAAAAAAAAACCGACTCGAGTAGCATCCATAGCATTATGGATCTTGGAGAAATTAGAATGCATCCTTTGGCCCCCTCCAAGTGTGAGTTGGCCGGCCAATCATTCGCCGATGATGAGCCAACTTCCCCAGCTATGTCCCAACAATAAACCAACGAAAATGTTTGACTGGGTAGAGTACACGAGGATTATTGCACTCATTCTCGGATTTCTTTCGCCAAGATTTTGGCTCTTTATGTACTTGCAATCATCACACTGGTCACATCCACCATAAAATTTGCTTCGTTGTCGACGAAGGGAAGAGAAAGAAAGCAATCCCTTCAAGGGCGAGAGGGGTTCTCGCTAAACTCTCCGCTTTTGTCTAACGTTAGGTGAAATTTTCGACAGCCGCAGTCGGCTGAACTGTTCTAAGTGGAATTACTTTCCGTCGATTTCGCATGCAATGCGAATTTGGCTAAAAGTGCAAAGTCCAATACCTCATAGGCCTTATTCTCGAAGACTTGACTGCGTCCCGTTCGACAAGGTTTCATCATTCCAGTTAAAGCCTTAATTAGATGCTCATTGCCTTTGATCCAAAGGAACATTGACGGCTCGGAACCTCTTTTGAAAGACCTCTTAGAAAATTACAGCAATTGCAATGAATAGTTTCAATTGCGTTTCATCAAAGTCTTTTGCTTGCACACGAAGAGATAGGCTATTAGTGGTCACTCCGTGACCACCTGAAAGAGTGCAAGGGCTTTGCCTCCTCGTTAACAGGCTGCGCTCCGTATTTTTTTCAGACTCTGACGTAATGCATTTATTGCGAGAAACAATAGGGGAATATCAGCAGAATGGGGGTCATTCATATTTGAAAGGAAAAAGTGAACAAGAGGCTCAGGGAACGCCCAAACCGATATCTCTTGAATGGACCACTTCCTTGAGGCCATGACGCGAAGCATTAATGGAAATACACCGTGTCTAAAAAAAGAAAAAAAAAAGTTGGGGGGGGGGGGGGGGGTTTTATTTTGAGAAATATTCCACCCTTCCAATCTATTTCATGTTCATGCTTTCATTTCATTCAAGATTTCTGCTCAGTTTAAAAAAATTGTGACATAACAATTCAATCACTGTGACCAGTGATTGAAATGCAATACTTTTTCAAAGTGGAAGCATGGAAAATTGCCGTGAAGAAGCAATCTACGGATTGCTTCTACTCAGTTGCATGACTTCGGCGCGCTTCGAAATCAGCCCAGACAGTCTCCCTGAAGAAACGGAATTTTCATACTTCTTACCTTGTGTATTCAGTTACTTTGTGTTCAGGTTGGATTTTTAATACTCTATTCTCATCACTCTCTGTTGGCCTAAGACCTAACTCGTCATTTTTACAATCTTCGTCCAGTCACGAATCACAGTATTGAAAATGACGAAGAACACGAGGGACAAGCACCCAAGGCTCTCGGCACCCAAGGCCGAGACTGTCCTGCTGCCTGCTCTGTCATTTTGGACATTCCGGGAGTTGAGCACCCGGCAAGGAATGTGCTCTTTCACTGTCGTTTTCGATACTTCAACTTTAAAAAAGTTGTTGCATTCGAAGCACCTGGTGAAATTATTTTGCACGTTGCAGGAATCTTTTCTAATCGTATGAAACATCACCTGCGGAAAAACAAGGCGCTTACTCGATGTAATTACTTAACCCTTTCAGATCCCGCGCCCATTCCCATGGACATTGCATTTTCACTGTTTCTATGGTAGTTTCTTGGGATTCCCGTGACTTTGCACAATATTACACAACGATGAACTCAATTATGCATGATTCAATTCCGTCGGAGGCATTCTCTCACCCTTCAGTTTTGTAATCTTCAGTTATGCAAATTATATGTATCTCTTGGCAACCTCACATAATTCGCCGTGGGTCGTTAACCCGCTCCAAAATTCCTAATATATGGTATGATATTTTAAATTTATACAAAATATAATAACGATATACAGAACATAAAAACTTAAAGTAGAATAGGAAAAGAACTCAAAAAAGCATAAAAGTATATTATTCCGATAGTGGCCTTAATTCAGGTCTGAAAGGGTTAAACAAATACACCGACCTCTTTTTTTGAGACGTTGTGTATCGCAGAGTGATTCTGGTGCTCTCATAAAATAAATAAGGTTTCTGCGGACAAGAAGAGTCAATGACGAGAAGCAATGTAAGCATAGTCCGTATGTTGCTGAAATATATCAGCGGGAGTATATCCTCTAACTTATTTTTTTATAAATAATTTTGCAAAGACGCGAATAACGATGGCATGTTGAGAAAAGAGTCCCAAATCATAGTAATTTTACGGGATGGCATCCCGTTCAATGTCCGCAAGACTTTTCCTCAAAGAGAATGTCATGGAGACGATGAAGGAGGCGATAGAATACGTTCTGCGGAGTGAGAAACAATATCGATACACCATATAGGTGCAGGCAGACAAACGGCCGCATAATGTAGGTCTAACTTGTATGAGTTTAGGTAATACAAGTACGCTGTAGAACTTTGAGGGAAAGGAGAATTATCGAAAAATGAAGCAATTCGCATCAGACCAATACGCAGAAAGAGATTATTTAAAATAATAATAATAAAAGAGAACTAAACGGCTTCATGGACAATTGTCTCTTCGCAGTCGGTCTCGTGATGAGGTGCGTTGCACATCGATCTCGTTCGTGGCGATAAGAGAGACTCGAGCCGATTACGCAACACATGAACGATCCATTCGTCATATGAGTGCCGTATCGAGCAGATAGGGATGAAAACGAACCCAGGTCGAGGGTCGAGAGAGCATTCCACTTCTGCTGGAATGCTGTCTTGTTTTCGGGTCGTCGAGGACGAAGGAGCGTCGTGTTTAATTCTGCACACATGGACTGGAGACTCTTGTGGAGACGCCTTTGCCATCCTGCCTACATTCCGTCATTTTAGGTCCATCGTTCGATGCATCCGAAACCCGAAATAGGAAGAAGGAAGAGAAAATGGAAAGCGTACCTGAGCCTTGTTGAGATGGAGGAGGGGCTCAGAGAGGGAGGATGACCCGAGAGCATGCGACGGGAACACGAGCCACGGGTGCCTTTCTATGCTATAATTCACCTGATTCTGAATGAATCGGCTCAATCCGCTGGATATCATCGCCTCTCTCAGAGTCTCCCATAACGAGGACTCCTCCACGTCTTCCGAGGCTGCTAACAACTGTCAAAAGGAGAACAAGAAAAATATGAGCGATTGCAAGTGGTTACCGACACTGTACCTATAGACCTACAGCACCGAATCGGAACCTATCGCAGCAATTTTTTTTCATTACTCGGGATACTGACCTTCATTTGAGAAAAGACTTCATCCACGATTTTCTTGTCTTTCAGGTGTTGAAAGAGGATCTGTTTGCTCCTTCCCGACTCGCAACCGTTCGCCATGTTCCCGGACTCCCCTATCGATCACGCCGTTCCCCACAATCACAATAGCGTCAGGGACGGAGTATACCCAAAGGGTCCACTCCATATCTGGCCCATAATTCAGCCTTATGGCTCTGGAATACTTTCTGATTTAGAGCATTCTGTTGGACGCGAGCTAAGCTCATCCTATTGGACCCCGCTTTGACGAGGCCACGATGGATCAGAAACACGGGTGACAGGACGTGGAATTCGTAGCCGGCTAAAAAAGTCTCCAAAACTTGAGTGTTCCTCGTGAATCCGTATCCGTGATATCTCTCATCGTGTACTGGAACGCGATCATCGGACACGTAAAAGGGCTCATACAAGAACTCCATATTTTTCACTCGATGGCTCACGCTGACTCGATTCGGGACTGGGTCTCCGTATCGCTCCCAGGCGCTGAAATTCGTCGCGTGTTGGTTGCTTCTCAGGACGAGTTCGTGGAACGGACGAGCGAGGTCTCGTCCGACTAGTTTCAGAAGATCCTCCTTACTTTCCGGCAATTCGAGGCTTTCGTCCATTTCGTAGGTGGGCAAGACAAACACGCGTTTCTCGGTGTTGCGAGTGCGAGAAAAGAAGTCCCGTAGCATGAGGGAAACTCCTGCACTGGGAACGACGTCGACGTCAAGGCACATGACGTAGCGAGTCGGACAGGATTTCCGAGCAACGTTCCTCAGCACATTCTGAGGATATATCGCATCCCGAGTCCCATGGAATCGCCTCAGGTCGATCAGGAGTTCATGGAAAATTTGAGCTGGAGTCGATGAGGAGTTGCATTCTCTTCCCGTCAATCTATCCCACGACGGTGATGCAGTAAAGTCTTTTTTTCCAGGTGCATCGCCGTCGGGATAGACGACATGAAAGAACAGAGGGGCATTCGTTGGGATGAAATCGCATCGTCGAAGGAAATGCCAGAAATCTCGGAGAACGTGGAAGCTCGGACCGGGAGCGAAGACGGCCACGGAGAGGATTCCTCGCCATGCCCGAGCCTGGTTCAGGATTTCCGGGAATCGATCCACTGAGACGTGGGAAGCCAAGCAGACGGCGTCGGGATCCTCGGTACGAGATTCCATGGATGGCCTGCGAACGATCACGTCGTGATGGATCCGATAACGACGGGAATCGTCCCATCGGAACGAACTCCATTTCACTTGGATCTCGTCGATTTGCCGAGGTCCGAGGCTGGGGAATATTTCCGGTTCGGCCCTTTCTTGCTCCTCGAGCGTTCGGCCGCACCGAGAAAGAATCAGGAACAGCACGACCAGAACGCTTGCCAAGATCAACAGAGGCACGGGTGTACGAAGATACTTTCTCACGATGGCCATTGTAGGCTACGTCGAGAGGGACTGTGTCGATGAGGAATGGATCCTCCCGTCTCCGTCGAATGCGGAGCTCTGAATGCCTGTTCGGTTCTCTCACTCTTTTCCCTTTGTATATGGTAGCCATGGAGGAAAGGAGATCGATTTCCCGAAAAAAAAGTGTCACCATGGACGTCGTGGGTTAATCAATGTCATCCACGGATGCATTCTCGACGATAACTTGAATTCCTTCAGTACGACGACGGAATTTCTATCGTACCGAATCTGTACACAGAGTAATGTACGTCCAGCACAATCAACATCCCCGTCGATCCCGGTTCGTCTTCAACGAGAGACCATGGATTTGAAAAGAGAGGAGAGGTAATCTTTACAAGATCCATGAACCATCGATTAATGTACTCGTAAGGTCAGTCCTTATACCCGACCTTCGAAGCGAGAAAGTATCTGCCTCCATTTCACATCTGCTTCTATCCATCCATCCATCCATAAATATAAGTGGTTAATCTGTCCGTGTGTCAGTGTGTCAGTGTGTCATTCCGGGAAACTCCTCCTGAACGGATGAACGGATTTTCATGAGTGAGGTGTCGATCGAAAGCTTATGACCTGTAGGCGATACTTATTGGGTCAAAAGTCTTACCATTTAGACGCAAGAGAGTCAATTTTCGGCGATAAGAACTCCCCTGTACTGAATACCTTTCCGGATGAAGAAGTTCTCACAATTAACAATGAGAGTACGAGGCATTGTCGGCTACGGACGTTGTTGTTATGACAACTGCATGGCAATGATCTTCATATATCATAGTTTCGTCATGTTACCAGTCCTATCGCCGGTTTCCCACAGTGCCTCACGTAAGTCTGCAGCATTCAGTTATTGCTCTATAGTACTATTTTGAATTTTGGTGTCGCTCTCAAAATGCCACGAAAAAGGAGAGGAAATTTAAATTATTTTGAGGCTCGAAACGCAAGGGGAAGAGAGACGTTCTAGAGTCACAGCCAGCTGGTGAAAAAGCAGAATGGTGCGCATGAAATGCTGCTTCACAGACTGCTTCCAGAGCCAATGAAACTGACGGAGAGAGAGCAGAAAAGCGTGAACAAAATACTTTGATTAAGACTTCTTTCATCCCATGCGTGCATGGGCTTAGTTTAATATAAAAGCAGTTGTTCGCAAGAATCCTTGCTAAGCATCACAGCCATTATAATCGTGTTGGAAATTCTGGACGCCGCGTTCGAACGCAGCACGTTCGAATTTCTTTTGAGATATTCTCCGACCCTTTTCCAAAGAAAAGTTTCTTTGGGAAAGAAGGCAACATCCACTGCACTACTTCCGGATTTTTGCCAGCTGGGACTCTCTCCGTTTGCTATCCTGTCCCAATCGGGCAACAACCTGGTTATAACCACTGAACAACAACAGCTGTAGCAGTAGGAATGATACGAGGACTCCATCAACAGGGACGCAGTCTCTCCATCATGACTCAGACGGAGACCTCTTTCGGAAAAGATGGGAACCAGATAAATCCTCTTCCTACCAGTAGATGGCAAGAGCCAAACGCGCGTCCCGAGCCATGCGAGCTTGGACGCGTGATCCTCTGGATGCCATTTTGATTCCTGCAGACGACCACGCTCATTGAAGAGCTTTTCTAGGTATCGATTACCCACTCCCTTGTGGCGATTTTCACTTCATTCCATCAGAACGCAGGGAAACTTTGCATACGATGGTGAAACATTTACCTGCATATAAATCACATTTTTCATGCTTCGTATCACCACGATTTTGAGAGGAAAGTACCGTTGCAGTTGAATCTGGGATATGGATACAAAGCAGTGTCGTATCCCTCTGGCATTTTTACATTGCAGTTCTTCTCACTCCTCCAATTATATTGAATACTTTGCAGCTTGGGAGAAATACTCTCTCTTTTTCTCCCTTCGCGGTAGACAACTGATACAGATACGAGGGATGATCCAAGAGTTTTTGCCCCGAGGTCGTAGAAATGATCGGAGAAGGCTGAAAGTTGGGACCCATAGTCCTTCATTCTATTTGGTCATTTCAAGTGCCAACAATCGCTTTTAACTTTTTTAATAATTGATATTTAATTGATATTTAAATGTTCCCATCAAAAGTTATTCCAATTCATAAAAGGCAACATTTTCATACAGAGCAGTTGGGCAAATTTTATTTCATTCTTACATATTATTTTGATATCAGTTTATTTATTCAAATAAAACAATTAATTCAATAGTGTACAACTTTAAGCAAAACTTCGTTGGAAGCAGCCACGAAGGTAAACATGAATTCAATGAAGTTGATCAAGCATTTTTGGACAACTATGAAAAATGAATTTTTTCCTCACGAGATTGAAGTCCTGTCCCATCAACGGCACAATTCCTGATGTTCAGGGAGGTTATGTTGAAAAATACTTTTTTTTTTCATGAGTCTTTCACATTCCCTTATATCTTAGGACAGAAACTTAGCGATAATCCCTCTTACATTTAAAATTCATTCTGATCAGCATAATCATATATTGTTTAACGTCTTGACAAAGTCAAATCGACTTATTGACTGTCAGGAAGACAAGTTAAAGAATAATTCGGCAAGTTGGATGGGGAAAAGAGAGAAGTAAAAGTGAAAATGCCAACAGCATAGTCTTCACTTGAGAGGTTTCATTTCTTTCCTGCTGGCAAAGTCTTGCAATACTACACTTTCGCTGTTCAATTTAGCAGTCTTTTCCCCCACTCTCTTCTCGGCTAAAATCTGTTCCCCCGAAAAATTGGGATTGTGATGCATTGGGATGGTGAACTCGGCTTTTCCTTCCAATTAGATGAGTAGAGATATCATTTCCTAATTTGTTCCATATGAATGACTCGGCATACCTCAGCACGCCTGAATATCTTGTCGACTTTCAATGACAACGGAAAGACATTTTGAAAAACAAAAATGAGACAGTCTTTCTTGTATGGCCTCGCCATAATGAGAATGATTCTCTGAATTCTAGACACGCGCAGCCACCGCTTTTACGTATCGATCTAGATCAGCGGTTCTCAACGTTTTCTTTTTAACGGCACCCTCAACAGACAGCGAGACGTCGGCGGCACCCCTGCACATCCACGAACCTCCAATATTAATAATATTATACATGCAAAACCAATCAAATGAGCCTAACCAGGACTTCTGAATTCATGCATGACAGGTGTATTTTGATCTGTCACCTGGAAAAATCATCGTTAAGAAAAAGTCTTCAATTTTTTTTAATCTCTCCAATACCATACCTGCGCCTGCCTTTGGTTGTCCTAAAAAGCAAGATGCGGCTCAAATTTTGAAGTGACCTCACGCAGTTCACTTGTCGGGACATGAACGCTTTCTTTTAGTACCAAGGATAAGAAAGGTAGACTGGGTGCCGCGGCACACAGATTGAGAACTGCTGATTCGAGACGATTGGTTTCATCTCACACTGGATGCAGAGAGTTGAACGCATCACCATCCTCTCTTCTACCAAGAGGGCGAATAATTTTCGATCTCGCTGGGCAGTCAACTCCATCTTGCTCGAAGAATATTTTATGTCATACTCGCGGCCTTCTGAAATTGCGAAATCTAGTCGATGCCTTCACTCACCGGGGTTTTCAGTGGGTTTCACAAAGGAAATGGAGAGTTTTTCAAGCTCCATGCCATCTCGTAATTCAAAAAGGACTCAAAACGAACGTCTCGATCGGCCTACCAAGCATGGTATCACAAGGAAAGACATAAAAGAAAAAAGTATTCCTCAATCTACGTCATATGACTTTCTTAACCCTTTTGCTCACCCCATGCTCCACTGGACTCGGAGACCCACACCAGTTTTTAATTATGTTTCGCTTATGTCACCCATAAATCCATTCGCGAGAAATGTGTCTTGAAGCGGGGGGCCCACCCCCCACCACATTTCATACTCAATTGTAACCATGGTAACCACTTAGTTGTCTAATTACAGCTGATATTGGCATGGGGAAAAAGTAAAATTAGAGGTTGGCTTGCATATTGAGAGAGAAAATTAATGCTTTTGTAACAAAGCGCATTTGTAGTTAGTCGAAAAACGAGCAGAGAATGAGTCGGGACTGAAAGGATTAATGTGGCAAAATGATAGATGATAATGCACAATCTTGGAATGGAGTCATCACGATGAGCTTTAGCACTGCGGCTGATGGTAAGCGAAGGACGTGGAAGCGGACAGCGATTGCACGGTCACTCTGGGCGCTTCTTCTCGATGGCATCCGTCATCGTGTCACCTTTGCTCCAAGACACAAGCGGCTCAAAGCTATCGTGCCGCATCTGTCCTTCAGAGCCCATACCTACGAGATTCGGCGATCGTATCGATCGAAGACAAGGTTCCCAAAGCAGAAGCCTGTGGCTCCGGTAGTGCATGTCATCTCCATGATTTACTGGCGAAAAGCCACGGCAGAGTACGTGTAATTTTTCTGCTTCCCACAGGACTAAAAATGGATCGAAATGTATGCATTGTCCTATCTCGAGAGCATAATTATATACAGGTACATAGAGCTGAAGTGGATTTCATGTTACTGGTTATCGTGTCGCCATTCGACCTTTACTCCGCGATACTTCCAACTGTATGGTGCTCTGAGAATTCCGATGCACAGGATGTGACAAAAAAGTCCCCGACTTCTACTCTTACTGGAGCTATTTTCAGAAAACGTACAATGTACACAAACTGATGTGTTCCCAACATCAATTTCATCCAAATTCATTATACGAAAATCCGACTCTAGAGGTTATTCGAAAGAAATCGGAAATTTAAAATGAACAGCTACCTGAAGTCTCTTTGGAGTTACCACAAGGTGGTCAGAAAAAAGAAAGTCCCACAACTTGGATGCAATGCTTCGGAACGGAATTTTTTTCGTTCCTCGTTCCGTTCCGTTCCACTTGAACCCCATGTGTGTTCCGGTTTCTGTTCCGTTCCATGATGATTAATTTGGTTCCGTTCTGTTCCAGGTAATTGTTCCGTTCCATTGTGTTCCGTTTCATTTCTCTGGTTCCCAGGGAATCTTATCACGAACTACTTTTTTTTTCTTCATATCCATGATACGCCAGAAATTTTCTTCAAAAATCGCGATTGCAAAGGGAAAAAATTGTCTGTGCACTTGGAACGGAACGGAACGAAATTATCCCATTTTCCGGAGAAATCAATTTCGTTCCGTTCCGGTTTTCGTTCCGTTCCGAAGCCCTGATTATAAGGCAAAGCTGCGACAGCAACAATCAGTCAGGACGTTGTTTAAAATGAAACATTACTTCCCTTTCTTATCTGAACAAGATGAGATGGTAAGAGATGCTTTATCAGCAATTCACGTTTGCCTTTTTCAAATCTTCCATGTTCTGAAATTTTTCCCCTTTGCAATGCACCCATCCGAAGGAATGAAGAAAGTCTACATTGGGGGTGTTGGGTAGGTACACGAGAGATAAATGATAGGCGTAAATAATAAAGTAGGTAAAAACGGCACTCCCAAAAGCTTTCCAAGGAGTGGAAACACTGTTTCCATATTTCTTGCAGGAACTCCTAAGTACGGTAATTATGGCAGAAGCAGTTTCCTGCAATTAATGGCAATAACTGTAGACACACGTTGCGACCTAAAATAGGAAAAAAATGAACGAAAAGTCCGACTGGAGGCACGTTGCGGAAGATTGCTTGTAATCTGACCAAAGACCGTACGACAATAGTCCAGATAGTGTTCATACTTTATACGGGGTATGCTGCAGAAACAAAATCCGTAGCGTTGAAGATGTGAAAAGAGGAATTGTGGATCGTTCGCAAGCCATGCCGCTCCGCTCGTTGCAGCGCGCAAGTGGACACGAAGCTCGGTTGCGAGAAAAATTCTTTCAGTAATATTCGAGTCCATGCAGTCATTCGGTTTCGTGTCTGACGTCTGACCAAGTTCTCAACAGATGTCTGCACACTCATCCAGTATTCTTCGAGGAAGACAAAAGCGAATATTTTTTTTTTTGCAAATCGACGCCATTGTAGACTTGTGATGGCATGACCGGTGGCATGCGGTAGCATCCCGTGCTAAAATAAGCCACATGTGAGGGGGCATACAGTCCGTCGTCACAAGGTCGTTCCTGACGTTCTAAAATCAGCAAAAGCATTTTCCATTTTCTTTTTTCAACCATGCAAGGAGAATGTTTTTTGTTTTTAATGGCATTAAGAAAAATTAATGGCATCGCAAAACGACAGAACTTGGTTTGTTGGGATCAGATGATTGGAAGAAGACCATGTTCGACGATCGCCTTCTCTTCTAGACTCGTGAAAATTCGATAGAGTAGAAACGAAGAATTTTCCTGGTCGCATGAAGAGTCTAAGCGAGCCTCCATTGACGCCCTCCATTCCTTCTTCCTGAGGAAAGGCGACGGTCACTAATTCTCTCCTAGCGCTTTGGCCCAGACAGAAAATTGATATCATAAACACACTTCCCAACGCCATTTATAGGCGTGAAATTAGCTTTGTTGCTTGCGGGATGAGAAAATATTAAGAGAGAGCAAAAGCGAAGGGAGTACAAGGACTTCCGAGAAAATTCTCAAGGTTAAAAATGGCACGAGGAAGGTGCTGTTGCAAAATAGGAGGCTGGACTGGAGATCACTTGTCTCGGCCTCCATCTCAATTCTTCGAACAAAATTGTGAATGCAATGCAATCTCATCGTTTCGTCGTATAGTTCCGATTCGTATGCGTGTGGAACGCTGATCGACGATGATTTTCAGCAACATCCCCTCCTGCCTCGAAGATCAAATTCTGATGGATAGGGTAAGGAAATGAGCGCGTGCATGATCCAACAGAGGCGAACAGTTTGCATAGAAGCCGAGCAGGCCAATCCCTCGTTCGTGCTGCCTATAAGTGCGACCGCAATACTGTACAGTAATCAGTACAGATCCCATACGGACCACGGGGATTCACGAATTGGAGAGATGGGTTTCTGAGGGTAGGACGATGACGATTCCCGAGGCCAAGCCTGCTGCTAGAAACGGGAAAGGCGAGAGAGAGAGAGAGAGAGAGAGAGAGAGAGAGAGGAAAGAGAGGAAAGAGAGAGAGAGCGCGAGCGAGAGAGAGAGCGAGGGGGTAACGATAAGGAAGAGCTGAGGAAGAATGTGAAGGACGAGTGCGTACCCAGTACCCCAGTGACACGCATTCTGAGGCAAGGGCGGAGCGCCCTTTCCCCCTCCCCCTGAGTGTGTGTGTGTGAGTGTATGTCTGTGTATTCCAAATCGAATCAAGGGCGGACCAATCGGTTGAGAGGGATAAGCCTCCTCTCGTCACATGGACCCTCCACAGACCGGATTTCCCTGATACGTCGTGTACATGCTGACGAGTGCGCTTTTTTATAGTTTGAGTTGTTTGATCGGGGAAGAGCCGCCCATGAGTGAAGCAGGAAAAAAAAAGCGAGCGAGTGCGTGCGAGAGTGATGGAATGTTCAAGTTCAAGGTTAGAGAAGAAGCGAAAGTGGGTAACGATTCTCTCGATTCTCGGAGATCTAAGTATCACCTCCACGGCTGTGACGTAATCGATATCCAATCACCGGAGAAGTCCCTTCCAAGCCTTTTGCACGAGAATAAACGTGAGAGAAGCCCGAAAAAAACGACGGAATGAATTTGAAAATCAGTTCAGTTTCCCATCGATGAAATGAGCCGCTGAGTACAAAGGAGGCAGGAAAAGAGGAAAACGAAGTGACCTTGAGCAATGAACGATGCGGTTCGGGTCCAGTACTGGTTCCGTCAGAGACAAAGAGAAGGAAACCAGGAAGAAAGGAAAAAAAAGTACCCCAAGTGGGTTGGCGCTTCCTGAAAGTTCCCTATGATCTCCCACTCAAGTACTGGTTTCAAGGTCGATCCCCCGAGGATATATCTCTGTTATACCAGAGTCACTTCCGTCTTCCTTTCCCTCTCTCTCCCTCTCGCTCTTTTATTTCTCGGCACGAGCACGTGTGACTTTTTCTGGCGTGTGCATACAATCCGACGTATCACTTTCGCTGTGATATCCATGTACTTGGAACTGGTGACGTGTAAGAAAAGAGGCAGAAGAAAGAAATAGCAGAGAACTAGGTGAAATTGGCAAAGAGCCTGATCGCCAAGGTCAGATTCAAGCCAGGCTGTATGTGAATGTGAATGTGCACGAGCATGTGAAAGTGTGTGAGTTTGTGTGTGCCTCACTCCCTCTCATTCTCCTTCTGTGCAACCAGTGCAGAAAGGCTCACCCAGTACGGACCTAGACCTAGACCTAGACCTAGGCGGTGACCTACACCTAAGCTTCTAGAGCTTCGATCGCCCTTGTTCCCTTTCGGGGGATCAGGGAAAAGGGGCGAAGCAAAAAAAGAGAGAGGGAGGAGTTGGACCAGTGCACGTGCATGGGTGTGAGTGAGCGTATATCTCAGTGTGTCATCTCAAGGTCAGTACTGAAAACCAGTACTTCCTATTAGATTTCAGCGTTTGACACCGGTGATAGGCCCAGGACTGATGTAGTAAATTCGTGTGCCTGCTGATTCGGGTGAGTGTCCCTGGTGAGAGAGAGAGAGCGAGAGAGAAGAAAAGGCGCGACTTCGAGTTTGCCCAATCATCGGTTCATTTAGGAAGGCGACCAGTGACCTTTATGGGCTTTGTTTGAGCGTGTTCTCGTCCAATGAGAAATCTATTCTCTTCGACAGCTGACAGCCTTTCTCCTTTGGTTCCAAACTACTACAGCTGTGGGCCTCATCCCTCATTTTAGTCTTGCTTTTCATTGCTCTTGGCTTCGTTTGCCTTCATCGTAGGATTTTAATTATGAAGGGACTCACTTGGGATGTGATGATGCAGATGGAGTGTCGATTATGGAAATTAAAAAAATTTTTTTTTTTAGAGAAGGATAAAAAAAAATGTACCCCTTGCTTTGTGATTGGATCCAGGAGTGGCACCCAGCTTTTTCTCTCTTTCCCCCCGATGTGTACAGTATGTGCAGTAGGTCTACCTATCCTGTAGTGGGTGAGAGAGAGAGAGAGAGAGAGAGAGAATGAATCTGCATGCGCTGATAGCTGCCTCCTCCTCCTCACTCCCTTTTTGCCCCATCATCAGCCGAGTCGATATAAAGATCTTGGATACTCTTAGGGCCTTCGTGTGAACCTCCTCGAGTAGTGGAGTACCCCGTACCAAGAGGGACCCGAATTCATTCATTGTAAAATTCCCTTGCGGGGTGCTTGGCTACTGGAATGGAGCTTCAGGACGACAGGCCTCAGTCGTAGTCGTAGCCGTATTAGTACCTGTAATCGTGGTCGTAGCAGCCATGATGATGCAGGACGCTCTCCCGTCGTTTATTCCTCGTGCAGGTGTCTCATGAGCCGTAGTGGTGGCGGTGATGTCGGAATGTGCGGACAGCAGTGGCAGCATGGAATCTATCGCGATCAAGGAAGAACCTGGAGAAGGAGAAGAAAACGATGACATCATTGCCTCCTCTCGATCCAATCAAAATTCCACCTCTCTCCCTTCCAGGTATTTGCATCTCAACTCCGCCCATTCTTGGAAGTTCTTGCAGAGGAAACCAAGGCATCCAGCAGGAACGATTTGTGTCTTGCCTTTCTTCCAACAGAGTTTTCCTCTTTCGTAGCAGTAGGACCCATTGAATGAATGAACTGAATCTTATAGTCGCTTTACGTTTACGGGCTCTGGATTAAAAATGATGAGGTATGATTTGTTCTTTCCCCCGAACTCTACGAAGCTTCGACCTGCGAATGCTAATGGCTGAAAATATCAAAAGAATGAAGGGGACCCGCAGATGCGGAGGGTCTAACCTTGTCGAGTCGTCAAATAAGATAGGAAATTCCGGAAGCTCGGATTGCTTGTATTCACTTACTTATGGACTAATTTACTCGTACTTGACTTTTCAATAGGGCTTTATAGGGCATACTGCGGACTCTCTGACATAAAAATGGTATATGACCCATGCACTGGTAGTCACGCAAGAGCATTAATTCCGTAGAAGTCCTTAGATTAGCCGTACATTATACCAGTTCCATCCCGCACGAGACATGACGCACCGGTGATTTGATTTCCTAGCCGGTAAGGTGCATTATTGGCAAAAGATCCAGTTGCAGGATCTTGGCTTGTTATGTGAGTCACGCAGAAGTCCCTTGGCGTGCCTCGCATATAAGTCTCTCAGTATGTCAGTCGTTGAGCATGAACATTGCGGAGTGTGCGTGTGTTGTCAGCAGTACGGGACAGGGAGGATCTCGAGCGAGTCGGAATGAGGCAGAGAAGCAACGACGAGATCGACTAAACGGCTTCATCTCGGAACTGTCCCATCTGGTCCCCACCGTCCAACTTGCCAATAAGAGACTCGACAAGACGTCCGTCCTGCGACTCTCTGCCAACTATCTCAAGATTCATTTCGGTAAGTCTCTTTCAAAAACTTTCTCGGTACCCAAACCTGTATACTATATATGCTTATGATTCCGATGCAGGAATTCTGAGCCGGGGAACAGATGCTTCGAAATGGCCGAAGACTTTAGACTCCGACTATCTCCTCGAGGTCTGTCAACTCGGCTCCAAGGGAATTTATGGTCATCGTCGTCGTCGTATTCATTGACTGGTGATTTTTTCTTACAGACAATGCAAGGTTTCCTGATGATCCTCAGTGGATCGGGTCGGATCGTTTTCGTGTCCGGGACAGTGGAGAAGTTCCTCGGACACACCCAGGTCAGTTCTCCCCTGCGCGAGGCAATCAGCAATTTCAAGAGGCTTTCTATCCCAGGATCCTCCGTCCGTTCTGCCGACGGGTAAAATGGCTGAAGTAGCATAACATGACTTCTTGAAAGAGTTTAGAGGAGATCGGGAAAATTTGCTCGTGTTCATCACACGTTACCCGCATACGCACCCCACAGATACATAATTTATGAGAAAGAATATTCTTCTTCATCATGGTGTCAAGAGGGAAGTGGTTCTTGAGGAATTGATGAGGACAAATGCATCCCCAGAGCTGAAGAGGCTGTCAAATGATTCCAGAAAGGATCAGAGAAGGCACAAGACGCCACCCTCTCGTTACGCAACTGATTGGGGAAACTCTCTTCCAGCAGAATGAACATTTCTCTCGGCACAGGAGCATAAACATCTCTTCTGATGTACTTCAGATAAAATAGGCAGACTTTGCGTTTCCCTGTTGCATACTTCATATGCGTGCATGGACCTTATTCTTCCGCATCATCTGCCTTCGGAATGCCGTCCTTCAGAAGGATGTACAGGTTCCGGCGATGATGTCGACGAATTCCGTTCCTATGCATTGCTTTGATATCCGATAGTGGATTAAACGCAGCACCAGAGGTGAGGTTATCCCCTCTCTATGATCACAGTATTCCCATGCGATAAAATTGCGACAATCGTTGAGAAACTTATCGGGGAATTCGTGGCAGTGTCAGTGAATGAGGAATCCAAAATACGGAACCCCAATCATCTCGCAGAGATGTATCGAGCCCACGATGCTGCAGATGGGTAGCCCTTGTGCTGGCGCCATGGGGGAAACAGAGCCGAGCACGAGCATCACGTGCACCAACAACGTCAGGAGAAACGACCGGCTCCAAGTTTCATTTTGGAAACAGATACCGTCGGCTCGTGAGGGTATACACGGCAGAACCTGATACAACGTTGTCTGTATGAAAAGTGTCTGCTATGGACCATGAGAGAGGAGAGGAAGCTGAAATTTCCACTAGGAAAGTTCCTCACCTCTTCCTCTCCGTTTTCGCATCAATGTATCTATCTTCTCAAGATTTTATCATCCTACGAGTGGAGTCTTATGCAATTCCTCTGTATTCATCCGCGCAATTCAAGGCTATTCATTCCTTATATATGTGATACTCGAACAATTTCTGATTAAACATCCAGCATAGATCTGAAGACAGTGGCGTGCCCAAGGGTTGGGTGTCATAACACCCCCCCCCCCCTCCCTTTCGATACATTTTACAGGTTCGTTTCTCAAGAATTTTTAATTTGGCCATAAATGCAGGGTGGGTTACCAATTTCTCATATGTCAACCCCCCCCCCCATTGAGATTTTCTGGGCACGCTACTGTCTGAAGATCCTTATGTTTTCCTCTGCGCTAGTCAAAATCTCCTCTTGAGACGTTCAAGAGAGGATCTTCAGAAATGGCTAAACTTTCCCATTCTTTCGCTGTGAAAGTCCAAGATATGCGATGAGGTACAAAGTGTAATACTAGCCTAGCCGACTGGATGTATTACGATGACAACTCCAGGTAAGCTTTTTGTGTTCATATGATGCAATCGCGATATCGAGTGCTTGCTTCACGAGAATCCCATGCAAAAAGGGCAGCTACGTGCCGGGGACATCGTCGATATTTATTCATAATTGACGAGCCTCGGTGTTAGGGGGGTCATGATAAAGATATCTCTTCTATTCTTTTTTTCACCATTCAGGTGGATCTGATGGGGCACCCGATATATTTGATCGCTCATCCCGAGGACAGAGACATCTTGGCCCGAAACCTCCTCCCTAGTGAGTGATAATGTCATGCAAATTTCTCGCAATCTAATTGAAATCCGGTTCCATTCTACTCACGAGAATTGTATCTCATTCCGGCGCGTGGACGCTATCGCGATGCTATCCGGTCTTGATTAAGACTAGGAGTTTCCGTAAATTTTCTCGTCTGACAATATTCTTGTCGGGGCGTATCATCTCACGCTTTTTTGATGCATGGGATGGTTATAAAGCGTCAGGAACGATCACGATAGAGTCAGACATTTCCACGCAAACGCCTTGCGGAAGGTGGTGCCATGCAGGTATGAACATGACTGATAGGCTGGAATGAGTCAGAGTCAGCATTTTTCTTATCCTACTTTCATTTCCCGCTAGACGTGTCGCCATGAGGTTGAAGTTTTTTCAGGGGAGTGCCGCGTGCTCTGCCAAAGCCAGTGTTTCCAAGTGGTTGCATTTTGCTTTTTTTCCCAGGAATTTCAGCAAAAGGAACGAAAACAAAAAAATAACATGTAGAACCTGTACACTGAATCTTTGCGTCGCGATTCTCCCGTGATTTCTCTACCTCTTTGATGTGCCAAAATGCGAAATCTTATCCATGGTCTGCAGAGACCCTCGCCTAAAATGAGTGCAATTCATTTAGATGCGAGGCCAGCTGAAGGGAGACCTTTGTTGTCACTAGGGTTGCCACCATTGAATTTAACAAAATATGGACATATGGAACTATGGACAAATATTTCAAGTATACTCGCATCCGCAGCCGCTTTAAGCTTTAGATACTATAACCCCTTAACTGGGGTTTAAGCTTTAGATACTATAACCCCTTAACTGGGAACTTTTGAACGCATATGTGCGGTGATTCCATTGAGAGAAGGCAGGTGCCAGACCGCACATATGCGGCGAGTCCATTTAAGGAGATAAGGGTGTGGCCTACTGCTTTTGACTTACGGAAAAGGGCGATTTTGGTTGCTATTAGACTTTGTTAACTAAATAAAATCTTAAGTTTTAAATATGGACAAAACAATGTCCATATTAAGACCAGTTTGCAGTATGGACATTGTATTGTACTGTCCATACTAATTATGAACGGGTGGCAACCCTAGTTGTCACGTACGCGGCCATTTTGCCTCAGCCACTTTTGAATTAGCAAATGGCTGAGCTCACAGAACTTCAACGAGGTCTCTGTGCACAATCCGTTGATTTGCAGAACGTCGGGAGATCTTCGTAAGCGGAATGGATTGTGTTCTGTCACGTAGAAACGCGAGCACAAGAGCAAGTAGCTCAACTTATTCTCTCCAGTTGTTGATACCAGTCAGTCAAGAAAGCGTATCATTGTCCTGAGGCCAGTCAAGACTTGCCTCATTAGTTCCCATTAATTTATTGGGCAAACTCACTGTAAGTCCCACTATAGTGGGAGTACTAGCACTGTTCTTGAGATCATGCAACAAACGCATATTTTGCTATCGATCCGGGAGTTTTTACTTTAGGGCGGCATGGGGGCTTTTTGGTTGTACTTTTAAGTACTTCCCGTTCTTGTTTGGGTGAGGTGCGTTCCAAAAGTAGTAATCACTGCACTCCATAATTACAGGAACAGCATTGTCATGCTGAGTGCTTTAATTGCTACTTTTCCTCTACATTAGTGACAGCTTCGAGTCGGATGTCATTAGTTTCCTTTCCCAGACCTTTCAAATTTGGTTTGAATTAATTAATGATTAAATATGACTATTTCTCAAAAGATGAACAAAGGGCTGTCCTTAACTTTTTTTAATACCAAAACAGGCAATAATGTTGACAACATTCATAAGCAGTTAGAGGACCGTGGAGGGATATCGCTGTTGTGAGGAAAAAAAAATCAGTTGTCGAAATAGGTGGAATATTTGTTGCAGGAAACTGATACTGAAAAGTATCAGCAACTATTCAGTTGCTGATACTTTTCAGTACTTTCGATTCTCGATAACTAGTAGATTTTCCTACTTTTGGACATTCTTAGCTGGACAGAGAAGTTTTCACCCCCAACCTGTGGAGACACTGGCTTGAAAAACACAGACAAAGAAGAGGTAGTCATTCCATATAAAGTCAGCAACAACAATAAAAATTGACCTAACCCCCATCGATTTTTAGTGAAAATGTGTGGACTTGTAGGGTCCATTGCGAGAATGATTAACATTAAATATCAGCTCTCTAGTTCAGGTGCTTTTTGAAGAACTGCGATTTAAATGTCGTGTTTCGATCATGTCGATTTCTGATCCGTTGGAAGTCCCTCAAGGGCTCGTAAGTTCTGTCATAATCAAAATAGAGAGATGAAATTCTAATTTCACTTTCAAATTCTCTTAATGACCTCTTATATTATGTATGGTTCATGGAATTTGCATGCAAATAAAGGTCAAAAGTGAAAAGGTTTGAACTTTGACATTCAATTCTGGAGATAAAGCCACCTTTCCTGTTTACAAAAAATTTAAATGGCATTCCCAACATTTTATCTTTATCCATATTTCGATTTGGAAATATCATGGGATCAAAAGATAGGAACAATAATGTGGCAGTAAGTGATAAAATATCAGGTGAGTGAGCTAGAAACGTCCGGATGCATCTGGTTCGAGCAGAAATTTATGGATAACCTTTCACTTCGTCAGCAGACGTTATGCAAAAGGGAATTTTGGAAGGGCTTCGAAATGGCACTAATTTCATCTCTCTCCGTTAACCCTTTCACTGTTACGCCCGGGTATACCCGTTTTGAAACTTTCGGTTTTTCTTTTGTTTCCCCGTGTGTCCCTTAGAGGCATTGGAGTGTTCCAGCATGTGCTGCCATCTATATGGACTTATTCTGAACTGCTTGCACTGACTCTCTTCACTCTGAACGTAATATAAAAATTTTTTTGTAAATTTTTTTTTTGTAGAGGGCGCCCTCACAAGTTTACTCCCGCCAAAAATAGTATTGAGAAAATGGCACGGCAAAGCACTTCTCGCGATCGGAATCTTTCCGATAAAGATATTTATGATATCTTTATGAAGGATGAATCTGATGAAGAGGGTGAGTTTGTGTATAGTTCGTATGATACAAGTAGCGATAGTGATAATGAAGATGTGCCAGTGAGAAAATTTTGACCACATCCTCATTGCTGTTGAGGACATGTAATCGGACTAAAGACCAAATCTAAAGGTAAGAAAAATAAATTTAAATAATTTCTCTTAACATTAAAATTTTTATAAATAAAAATACTCAGCAGCGAAAGGGTTAACTATAAAAAAATTTATGGGCTCTTGAGTTATGATCCCCGGCCCAGGAATCGGCACTTTTCCCCAGACAAGCCCGTAGTCAGCGGGGACAGGGGGGCGGAGCTGCTCACTCCCTCCCCAAATTATCTACCGCACACCTAAGCGAATATTCTGCTCCCAGGTTTGGGGGGGGGGGGGGGGGGGGGGGGGGGTTTCCNNNNGGGGGGGGGGGGGGGGGGGGGGGGGGGGGGGGAGCAGTGTATTCCTCGCCCTGAGATTTCCTGAATGCAAGTCGATATCGAGAAATATGACTGGTCTCATCACAGAAGTGGAAAAGGTAGTAAAATTTCGCAATTGCTCCCTCCTCCCTGCCCTCCCAACTTGGGAAAATACCGACTACGAGACTACAGTATTTTTGCATTCACCCAATGTTGCAGGGCTGCAAAAGGCCCCATACTTCGGTGTCTAGACAATGCTGCCCTCTTTAGTTGAATACAGGAAACAGTGGCTGAACCAATAGGAACTCAATAAATAAAAATTTCATCCGGTTTCAATAAACCTTATTTATTTGAGATCCCTCCCAAAAGAAAAAGCGGAGTTCCATGAAACTCCCTCGTGATACTCATCTTACCGTGTGTTAATACGTATGTAGAACAGTAACAGCTAACAACTGTCAAGTCTGTTACTGTCAGCATTACACCTCTTTATGATCTAGAAAGATCATTCATTAGCAGACTAAACTTGTACTTTTCAATGAAGAAAATACATGTGAATTAAATTCAATAATCCCTTCCCCCTCCTCTCTCTCTGTTAGCCTGCCGGATGAAGGGCGAGAATACATTTCAAAGTTGCAGGCTCTTCCATTTCACTCTAAAGCCGAGTTCATACTCGTGCTGTACAGCGTGTATAGCAGCAGCAAAATCCAATCCAACACGGGCATGCTGCATTGGACTGTATGCAGTTGCAGCATCCAGCATGCTGTACAGCACGAGTATGAACTCGGCTTAATTCGTTAGAAATGCTGTAAGAAGTAGATGCTACTACTTCTCCATCAAACCACGTGACCTTTGTTCAGCTTGGGGCTCAGAAGCCTGAATTCTGGAGGTGAAACGACGTTCTTGTCTTGGCGTACGAAATCGTTGAGGATATTTGCTACAGAATAGCGGCGGGAGTTTGACCATGGTTCCATATGACTACTGGAACCCGACGATGAAGTGAAGGATGCACTCGTTTACCGACATAGGCATGAAAAAGTTTATACGCCTTAGAATAGGGACAAAATCCGTGGGAACTTTAATTTTCCCTTACATCTCCGAGTCTTATCTCACTCCTGCATGGGGAACTAACAGCAGGTTCGCATTACGGCCCTGTGACATTACTTCTTTTTTTTTGTACTTTATTCTTATCCCACTACGTATAGTTTGGATTCCAGTTGCTATGCTAGGAAAGCGCGGAGCGTTTCTTGTTACGAAGGAAAACTTTCATAGATGAACAGTTCCATTTCAGAGATAAAAGCAATTGAGTCTGCTCTATTTAAATAACTACTACATGCTATATGGGTCAGAGGAAGGATTGCAGATAAGGAGACATCCCTGAGACATTTTGAGACATTTGTACTATGCTATGTTGACAGGCGAGGCGAGTGGAAGGAATTTCAGCGTTCGATTGGCAGAGAGGAGTTTGAGTCGGTCCGAGCAAGGTCGTTGGCTCCCCATGAGTTTTGCAGGTCAACTCCGCCCTTGGCATCGCAGGAATCATCATAATCATGGTGTTCATCACCATCACCAAGCTCAATTGAGGGGTTCCCCCTTCCGTGGAGGAGGAGGTGTGTGGGGATCTGGGACGGAAGACTGGCTCCTTTTCGCCGTTGTCAGCCAGACTCACTCTTGGTCTCCCCTCGAACTTTCTCTCTATGAAGCCATCCAAGATGAATATTTCACCCGTCATAATGTTGAAGGACAAATCATCGACGTCGATCAAAGGTCTTTTCTCTTTCCCTTGGTAAATCGAAAACGAGGAAAGATGGAACCCAGCCAGTAGTGATGGACAGCAAACTACTCTAACAACATGATTAAAATACGACTTAAAACCTATTTATTAACTTTTAATGAGTTAAAGTTAAGCTAATACATCGTAGAGTAGTTGATTAAAAAATTTAAAGAAATATAAAAGTTATACTGCAAATTTTGAAATTTCGTAATTTTAGGAACAGTAAAAACTGTGTTGTAGAGGTAGTTAAACAAGTGAAAGTATCCTGACTTGAATTAATGCTACAATTGAAGCAGTTTGTATCCATCACGGGTGGCCGTTGACTATCATAGAGTTTGCGACTTTTCGTCGCAATTTATGCGGTCGAGGAAAAGTCTCGCAACGAATAAATTGTCAGAAAATATTCGGAGATAAAACTATCAGTCCCACTACTTTTCTGCCACTAAGTCATTCTGTCGAATGAATCAACTTAAGATGACAGCCTGACGGTTTTTTTTTTACATTTTCCACTCTTCTTTCCCACAAATTCAAGGTGGGATTTAACTTTAAATGTTCTTCAAAACTCCGTTTGGGTACTAAGTACCTTGAAAAAAAAAAGAACCATTCAACTGGGGTGCATTTTCTGCATGGCTTTCGTCACGATGGAAAGGGGGGGGGGAGGGGAAAAGCCCAAACTTGTCTCGCGTGTATATTTACAGATGCGAAAAGATCGCGTGAGCAGAAAGGCTCACAGCGTTAGGAGAAGTGTGGCGTGCTTTCTGCCAGTCTTCATGCTCTCAACACAAATAGTTCTACACCTGTGGATGACGGTGTATTCAAATCGCCAGAGCTGAAAGTGTTGATGACGAGATAGAAGTAGAGCCGAGTGAGAACACACATGCAGTAAAAAAAAAAAAGGGATACACAGACCGTAAAAAGCGAGAATTAAAGTTGTTGAACACAGGGTGGTCCTTAGATCATATTTGCTTCTGAAGGTGAGAAGCTGCCAGTTCTGATTGCTCGACGGGTTCCCGTTCCAGAGAGCTCATCCCATCATGCGGCACTTTCCCCTCTTCCGAAATAAAGAGATCACATTCACCCTATCTTCTGCTACATTCCCGACGTTCGCGACTTCCTGCTATACGACAGTAGAGAAGAAGTGATCGCATGGTTATTTTTACACACCCAAAGAAATTATTTTATAATCTTGGTCCAGCAACTTCTTTGCTGAAATAATGTGAAAAGAATCCTTGAACTGTTTTTTCGAAGATAATCTGAATTTAAAATTCCTTCAAATTCTGTTGTCGACGAATTTTGCTGCGACGTATTTTTAGCAATAGGTCGTAAAGATCGGTCGACGAAATATCTCGCGATCATTTCGGTGCGCCTACTTTTCAGGTGTCGGTAAGAGTACTGCAACAAATTAACTTGATACGACCATCGTGGACTGAAACGTCGAAAGCAGGAAAGCCACAGGAGAAATTAGTGGTGAAAAATAAAGCCCTGCACAATGGTCTGATTGACTTCGTGAAATCCTTTATATTCACGTCAGATGTTATGAATTGTGTGGATGAAACAAGGTCTGCTGCCGTATAAAATTACCATTTCGACTGGTAAGGATGATTTACAGTATGTCCGTCCGAGTAATGTGTTTGCCTCCCTCGTCAGCTCGTGGCAAACAAGTATCACGTGTGTAATTATTAGCTAGGTAGGCGTGGAAAGCACACCTCAGTGTAAACGAGACATCAGTCCTGAATATAAATAAAGTCTACCGACAAGTAAACGTAATGAAGAATATTGAGCACTGATGGCATAGCGAGGGCGGACACGCAGGTATGATGAAGAATACGATTCAAAATAATTCTCATTGCTTTCCATCGTCCTTATAGTCAACACAGATTTTCCCATATTGTCGCAATTCTCATGCACTATAAATGACACTGACGTAGTGTTGTCACCTGTCGAGTCCACGATGCCGATTTCCCACGATGCGTTATGAGACTAAATTATAAGTCTCGATGGAGAATGGAGCAGGACTTGGTCATCGATGACGGAGATTGCATGATTTTATGTCATTTTCAGGATCTCAGTCGTGGCAGGATATACGGTGAAGGAAGTACTGCATGAGAACGCATTTCGATACATACATCAGGAGGATCTCCCGGTTGCCCTCATATCATATGAAATGAGTGAGTCTATCCGATATCCATGAAACAAAATGTGCTTCCTTGGTCCTAGTGATGAATACTTGGTGCTATAAAAGAGTCTCCTTTCGTTGATCTCTATTTTTTCCTCCTAATCCCTTGGGGATTTTGAATGGAAGTGCCAATCCAGTGCAATGCGGAGTCTCTAGAGATTTCAATTCTCTATTTTTCCTTACATGATCTAGTGCTGTACAACAGCCCTGACGGGTCGGGGTTGGTCACCTATCGCCTTATGACAAGGTCCAACGAGATCATTTTCCTCAGGTCACGCGGCTTCCTCGAGTATGACAGTGTCACTCGCAAAGTTGAATCCTTTTTCTGCATCAACACTCTCCTCAGGTGATTCAACTTGAAAACCTTCGAGCATCAAATACAACCTCACAGATTCACAATATTTGGCATTTTGCAGGTTTGAGGAAGGTGAAGAAGAATTTCGACGTCAAGTGGAACGTATAACTCCACTTGTGCGGTCGAACGGTCATCACCATCAGAATCACAACAATCATCATTCCCATCATCATCATCACCATAATCATCGTCATTATTCTCATGGGTCGAATGTCCCGACGTGGCACAGACCCACTCCCGTATATGAATATGAGTATGGTGATGAAAGAGTCTTCCAGCTTCCACCTGATCAACATCAACAACACAGTGCAGGATTCTTCCATCCGAACAGGCACCCTGTCAGTTTCAGTTGCCTCATTTCTTTGAAAAAAAAAAACAAGGGGTTCGTAATGCTATCGCCTAGACGTCTATATACGGCAGTACTGCTGCTTCTATCTTCATTAGGATTTTACCACTACATAAAAATTTGTATACTTTAATCAAATCGATTTTGGAAGCATTTCGTCCGATAGCTAATTCTACATAAGGGTAATTCCATCGTGACTCATGTTACAAAAGCACACAATTTTCAGAAGTTAATTCCACCCTGCCTTCTGAATTTTCATTTTCAGATCGTGCCTAAGGCATAACGATGACAGGCATTGAGCCTTTAGTGTGATACCACGTATAATGCTACAAATTTTTTAAAGTTCTTTTGATTGCGAGAAAATGGGAAAAAGTTTTCGTGACTCATGTTACAATAAAAGGACTCGATTTCTAAGTGTAGATCTTCCGTAAATTAATCCTGCTCATTTTAAATTGTATTTAGACAGCACTTCGCTGTCATTTAGGTAAAAGATGAGGGATATATATCATAGCATATAAATTCTAAAATCTATTCATAGATCCATTCTTAGGTAATTTCTTCGTGACTCATGTTACAGAGTACTCAAGAAGCTAGAATGGCCCGCTTTTCCCATTCATTTTTTATGCCATTTATCATCATAACAATGGTAACGAAAAGAACAGGCATCTACTTAATTATCATTAATTAATTATTATTATTACTATTAATTTGGCTCAGAAAATATAATGGGACACTCCACGTGAAAAGGGACAAAAGTACCAAAATTTCAAAACGAATGTGCAAACCAACAATTGATGTCGCCGTGAATAGTGCATCCGAGAGCATATAATTTGTGCTTTGATCATCCTGGCTGTAATGTCATGCAGCATCGCCATTTTGAATTAGAGAAATCCAATATGGCGATATCTTGACTCTTCAGAGTATACACTGTTTCTGATCCTTTTTTAAAGATGCTATTTGGCAAGAGCTGAAAATCTGGCTGTGGGTGACATATGTTGCGTCCTGTCAAAGAAGTTGTCTTATCTTCAAGTACCAATGCAAAACAAATCTTTTGCGACGTCTTGAAGATGAATGGGATTTCATATATAAATTGAGTGACGAAAATTGCCATTTTAATTATAACTACTGTGTCTTTGCTTCCACGGGCAAATGCTGTTGGTTCCTCTTAGCCAGGGGTGTCAAACTCAAATCGGTCGGCGGGCCGCATTCCTTATCCTGCAGATGCCTGCGGGCCGCACCAATACTTTTTCACGGAAATTTGTGCTATCAGTCAATACAAACAGGGGTGTCAAACTCAAATCGGTCGGCGGGCCGCATTCCTAATCCTGCAGATGCCTGCGGGCCGCACCAATACTTTTTCACCGAAATTTGTGCTATCAGTCAATACAAGCGGAAATTTCAAGAACAGGCGGCGAGCCGGATGAACCACCTCCGCGGGCCGGATCCGGCCCGCGGGCCGTATGTTTGACACCCCTGACAATACTTTTTCACGGAAATTTGTGCTATCAGTCAATACAAGCGGAAATTTCAAGAACAGGCGGCGGGCCGGATGAACCACCTCCGCGGGCCGGATCCGGCCCGCGGGCCGTATGTTTGACACCCCTGCTCTTAGGTTCCAATCCAGCACTATAGGACTCGGATCATAGACTGCATCGGGTTAATATCCTTTGGCTATGCATCTTTCGTAACGTGAGTCTCACAGTGTTGAATTTCTTTCTCTATATTGATTTGGTGTGTTAGTTAGTAAAAAATCCAATAAAGCGCTGCTGAAAGGCAGAAACGAAGGAGGAAAAGCTGAAGCAAGAAGGGAAGGATGATGAATGTATGATGAGAACAAGACCAGTCATCGAAGCAGTCCGAACTTTGCCCCAGACGGTCAAAAATCATTTTTGCGGTATTAGTACCTCGTATGTATAGGGTTGGTCAAAAAAAGTAAGCCGCGCGAAATTTTGCAATAAAATCCATACATTTGGACGGATTGACTTCCAAATTTAATTGAATGTTACCTAATATATTCTTCAAGGGTTTTTAAAATGGGCATATGTCTGGGACTTCCTTTTCTTCAGTTATGGCAGGTTTTGTTGAAATGGTCAAAATTCTGAGTGAAAACAGGCATGCCAGTGCCGCTGTGAAGTATGAATCGACATTTGCCTTGGAATTTATGAGATTTATGCATAAGCAATAAATTTTCAGATAGTGAAAAATACACTTTTGGTGACATCCTGTAAAATTTTCACTATGATCCCTCACTGAACGGAATTTTAAAGTAGGATTTTAATGTGGATTCGTGCCTCGCGATGACAGCAGCAATCCTTCTCACTCAGCATTTTATTAATTTCAAGAAAGTCTGTCATGACTCAAGAATGCAAAATTGAAGCCACATGAAATTTGAACTCATATTGAAGAACATGCTGGGCAATGTTCCTTTAAATTTTGAAGTCAATCCATTCTAAAATATGAGTTTTATTGGAAAGTTTCGAGTAGCTTACCTTTTTTTTTTGGTCAACACTGCAGTTTCATTACATGATGCTTTCACTATACTTCCCTTCTTGATTCTCCTTCGTTTCTTTCATTCAACAGCACTTTATTGCATTATTTTATCCACGTACACTACAAATCAATATAGATAAAGAAAACGATCACTGTGTGACTTGTGCCACGCATGACTCACGTTACAAAAGTGGCACAACCAATGGATATTGCACCGATGCCGTTCATGGTCCAAGTCTAATTTTGTTTCATTGGACTAATGTATAGCTAGGAGGAACCAGCACCATTTGCTCGTGAAAGCAAAGACAGAGTGGTGACAATCAAAATGGCAATTTTCGTGACTCATGTTACACGTGAAAATGCATCCATCTTCAAGACGTCGCAGAAGATTCGTTTCCATTAGTAACTGAGGATGAGATGGCTCCTTTGAGATAACGAATCATATGTCACACACCTCCAGATTTTCAGCTCTTGCCTACGTAACATATTCAAGAAATCATCCCAAACAGTGTTTACTATGAAGAGTAGAGAAATGGCCATCTTGGATGCCTTAAATTAAAGATGGCGATGTTGCATGATACCGCAGTTAAGATGATCACAACACTGAATTTATTTTTCTTTAGGATGTACTCTTTGTGGTGACATTCACTGTTGGATTGCCCATTCGTTTTGAAAGTTTGATTTATCTGTCCATTTTGCCGTGGAATGACCCATAAGATAAATTTGACATTCATAAACTTTCACCAAGGAGCAAGGCGAAGTGAATGATCGTTGCCCTGACTCAAGCAACAACTATCCCAGCTCATACTGACAGTCTTCAGGCACCCTCATATTCTCCTTTACCCTCCATTCCCTATATCACACACCACACCAATAACGGCGCCCGCTGTATCATCTATCACGGGAAACTCATAGGAGGCTCGCTCGCTACTGAATTAGTCTTTATCGAACTTCTTCCCCCCCCCCCCCCCTTTTTCTCTTTTATTACAAGCTTCCTTTGTCGTTGAAAGAAAACGTTACCAGGCAAGCACGTAGAGTGAGTGTAATGATGAGCGATGTGCTTGGATGCTCGTGATCTCCTTTCTATATCCCTGATTGGGGGAGTGCAACAGAGTTACTGAGAACGGTTTAGTTCTGCATGACGGGGAGGGAAGACACCATTATCCATGATCGACCGTGCATTGCAGAAACCTTTTCGGTACTGGTGCCTTCTTGGCTTTCCTTTCTTTTTCAAACTCCCTCTTGACTCCTGACATCTTGTATTTGAATCATCTGGATGCCATCTCTCGTTTCCTGGATTTCAGACCAGGATGATAGCATTCATTGTTAAAGCAAAACAGGAAATATGTGAGGTTAGCCACGAGACCAATCCTTTACGAGAATAAACTGTGGCAGGGATGCTGAGAGAAGTTCATCTCCAAAAACTCCGAAGTCGGGCAGTACTAAAAGGTATCAGAATCTCAGAGAGAACGTACATATCATCCCTGTTTCTACTTGAAAGGAGACATGCCGAGGAAAGGATAAGTATGATTTTATTTCCATGCCAAGTGAAATATCACAGACATGACTTTCACAAAAGAAGACTAGCATCGAGAAAGCAGGAATAATCAAAGCTTGCCCTTTGATTCGTTTCATTTTCTCCGATATAAATTCTTATAATAAAAAAGTGACTCTCAGGATGATGTCAGAAAATGTTTACTAAATCAGATGGAGTTGTACGGAGGACGTGGAGAGGAAGTAAAGATCGAGAGAGAGAACTGGAGCATTCCTCGAGAATATCCACTGGATCCATCGTGGCTGCACAACTCTTCTCAAGTTTCATCCACTGAGGGACACCCGCATCCAAAAAAAGTAGAAGCCCATTCCAATCAGCAACAACAGATACCGCATGAAGCTTCGCGAACTCACCATTGGTCGAGTTCGTCGTCGTCTTCGTCGTTGGGGTCCTCTCCCAATCATGATCTCTCATCGTCTGCACACGCCTTGCGCCACAATAGCAGCAACAGCAACAATAACAGCAACAACAACAGTCCAGGTGTAGATGCAGCCGTATACTTTAAATGCTCGAGTACCTTTCAAGAGGGACCTGGAACATACCCAGATCCCAATAGAGTTTCCTGCAGTTCTGCCTTGCATGGACAATGTCATAAAACAGTCGC